TATTTTTAGAAAACACATACAAAATACACGTATTTGTATTTCAATGTGTTTTTATCAAAATTCATACCTAACGATGGATTTTTCTAAAATCATAGTGCTATTACAGGAGATTTAGAAAAATCCACAATGGAACATGGATTTTTATAAAAACCATGGTTAAACGTATCATTTCTCAAGTATTATGATGAGTTTCAGAAAAATATATACAAAATGATAGAATTTCATAAAACCGCAGTTCTGAAGAATGAGTTTTAGAAAAATCTGCTATAAAATGAGTATTTTTAGAAAAAACATATCTATAAGTTATACGTTTATCCTGTAGCGCTCTTATCAATGGTAATATCATTCAATTAGCCAGAAATTAATTCAATATATTTAAATCACTCAGAAATCGTCTCCCCAACCATTTTTGGAGAAAATTTTCGAATTCTGGAAACCTCTTTTAGACATCCCTTTGGTACCCCACTTCGTTTTCAAAAACACAATAGCTCGTCACTGTGATGTCGAAAATACATATATCTCGTATGCAAAGTATCCATTGCCAAACATTCGAACTCTGCTATGATGCGTGACTCAAACGTATTGTACGGTTCATGATAAAACCTTTCAAATTCATTTATTTATTAATTCGCAATTTTGCTCGCGAGGAATAAATTTTATAACACAAAAATTATATATTTAAAATCTACAGGCTCTACCGATTCAGAATGTGTATGTTGGTTTCGACATTTCAACATAGTGAAATGGCCTAGTGCGTATGGTTTGGTTTGATTTGATTGTCTTTCCGTTAACTCCATACAGTCAATATAGACTATCGTACCTTCTATGCGTTCTCTTGATAATTTATTAGCATGCAATTTCTCTTTATCATCCAAATCTGGTGGAATAACAGGCAAATTATATTTCAACTACGAAATCAATAATTAAAAAGCTCAATATTATTTGTTGAATATTTTTGGCATTGCAAAGATCCAGAAAGACACCGAGAATTCCGTTCCAAATTTTTTTTGTTTTCTTTATTTACAAACTTTTTTTTACAATATTACTTAAATTCAGGGGCAAAGAATCGCACTGAGTGGACGCTGCGAGTAGCGCATACACTCACTCGAATGAAAGACGATTAATTCGTGTGCGCTGCTCGACTCACGAAAATGGGTTTTTATACGCACACGGCACACTATGTTCTGCTTCTTCTTCGTTTTGTTCGTATCTGCTATAGCAAAAAGAAGAAAAAGAAGAAGAAGCGGAATACTGGTGAGTAGACTGTACGGAATTTACTCGATTCCAAATCAACATAGTTTGTCTTATTCCTTGTGCTTAACAGAGTATTTTGATATAAAAAATTTATTCCAAAATTATTTCTTCGCGATCAAAATTGAAAAAAATAATAATAATGATTTGAAAGGTTTTACGTACGAAAGGCAAGACGTCTACTTCAAAAACATTTCAATATCTTCAATACATTCACACATCACCGTTAACTGTTCTAGTTTGTGTCGCAATTTTTTTCTCTACAACACACGTCAATGCGACAATTGACACATAGGCTACGTGTGTGTTTGTTTTGGAATTCGTTACCGAGTTCTATTGAACTGAAATACAAAGGTAGCCTGATTGACCGTTTGGATTGTCACATAAAAACGCGCGGTTTTCGAATTGGCAAAGAAATTTAATTTTTGTGCGCCGATTCGGAAACCATAAAAACGAGCCATTTTCAAAACGGCTCATTTTTCTGAATTGGCACACAAAAAAAACCGATTCTGAATTGGTGCACAAAAGTTAAATTTCTTTGCCAATTTGAAAACCGCGCATTGTAAAATTAATTTTAAACCATCGATTTGAACGTTTTCAACCTCTGGATATATACCCCATTCACTAAATTGGTTGGTATTGAAGAAAATAAATCGATGGTTTCCGTACTTTCGAACGAAGACAAATTTCGAAGCATGGCGCAACCTTTTATTTGAATCAGCCACTTGAAGAAGATCTGCCAAATCCAAATGTCCCAGTATTCCTTCGAGGCAATCAATATTCAAATCTGTCAGAATCATTTCGCTTTGAAATGAAGTGTTCAATCGGTTTGGTCAACTGTGGAAAAAAAGGAAAGGTGAAAAAATCATTAAATCTATTTTCAAAACTTGGATGGCAATGTAATTTTAAGAAACTAAAAAAACTTACTTGGATGAAAACTTATTCACTGAATGAGGCCCCTGGTTTGATGCAATTTATGTGAGGTTTTGATTTTTTTTCTCGTATTTTTTACTTTTAAATAATTTTCAAGCAAAATCAAAATGTCAAGATGTTTTCGCGTTGAGCATCAATATGCAACTGATTTTATTCTTTGAACGTATGATCATGCGTGGTGCATTCTCAAACAAGCATAGGCGCATGAACATTAGTGCAGGTATAAATTAGGAGGTAATTAGAACAATCCAGACAGATGAAATGCTACATAAACGAATTAGTGCCACCAGAAACTAAAGGATCTCACTAATTAGTGATAACTTTAACAACAATATGCAGATTTGTGCCGGGTCCAAAATTCAACAATCTGTTATTGCACTTTTTTCTAAATAAAAATCCGGACTCTTTATTACGCTTCAACAGATCATTTTAAATTTTAACTTAACCTGCGTAAAATTCCTCTTTTACAACTAAGAAAACTACAAAAAATCATCGTCTAAAGTACATTTGAAGAAGGATAGAAAAATAAACCAAAATATCAGTATTAAATGTCATGGAAAAGATTCGGCAAAAATAACTGCAACACTATAAATATCCGATCCACATATAGAATATACATAAATTGAGCTGAAGGTGACTGATTCGAATTTTAAAATGAGATGCAGCTCTCAATTTTAATTCCTAAGCCATATAACAACACTTTGTAAGCACTCTCGCACTGAGTTCTCGTGTAACAGCAAAAACTTTCGTGTCTCAATGGGATTATTCAATTTAATGAGTTTTTGAGTTTTTGACTTTTTGTTTCTGTGTGCAAATGGTGAAATTTTTTCGAGGGGAAAGGGGAAACATCGAAAACTCACTCAAGCATATGAACACAATTTAAATGATGTCACGAATGATGGCAAATGCTTTGAAAAAGTGAATTTAATTAAAAACGACCTACACACGCCAAAAATCGTTATTTATCGACAGGAAACATGTTATAACATTTGGGCTGTTGAAATATTCTTCGGTCGATCTCTGAAACAATCGCATCGAACAAACAATTGTACACACGCACGCATCGCCATACAGTTGGAAACTTCGTGCATTCCCTCATAACACATCGCTGTTGCTTCATAGCATTTATTTTTCAATTAAAATGGAAATTTCTCTCTCAACGTCGAGCAAGTGAAACGATTTGTACGTATAATTTCACTTGAATGCATCCGAAATCAGTGTGTTTTACTTTTTAAATTAATATCTGTAAATGTGTGAAAAGAAAATTGAGTTTATTTTCATTGCATCGAATGCATTTGTCTGCCGACGTATCATCTTTCAAACACCTTTTTTGGTCATAATCAAAAAATCAGATGCAGACGTTTTGTTACGCCTTTGAAATGGTTTCTTCGTGTGAATTTAAGTACGGTTTTTTATTTGTAAATGGAAAGCAACAGTTTTTATTCCGTTGGGCGTTTTGAGTAGTGCGAGAATAACGAGACAAAGTCTCAAATTGATTTGAAAATTTCGAGGGTATTTCAATATCAGACATCCGTTGAGGAAAACTGGTTTTAAGGGCGCGGCGGCTATTCGATCGTAAATTTTCCAGATGACAAATTATTTCCAAATAAGAAAATAAATCACCAAAAGGAACCGCAGCCAAAGTAATAAAAACAGTCGCGATGTCCAGTTTCAGTATGACCATTCGAATCTTGACCGGTCTAATAACTTGTTTTTCGTATTTGTATTTCGCGTTTGATCAAATCAAAAATTCGACGGTTCCGCGCGCACCCTTGTTTGTTTGTTTGATCGGCTCAATTTTAATTGCTTGAGAAAATTAATCGAAAAACTGCAGTTGGGCTGCGCGGTCATCGCGTCATTTGTCTTCGCAATGAATGAAATTTCTCATCGACCCGATTGTTAACGGTGAAGAAAGAAAAATTTCTCAGGACACTCCGTTTTAGTGCTCGCGGAATGAAAACCGACCGCCAAGACAAAACAATGGTAATGCACATTACCTGCTATGTCATCATCATCTACAATAAAAAGTACTTAGTTCGCGCGCAAGAAAAACCGTTTCAGTTTTTTTTCTTCCTTTCTTCTTCTTATTTAAGATGCATTCTCTCCGCTTTCACTCTTTTGTTTGGGCATTTTTCGCTGGTGCGTTTCCATTGTTTGCATTTTCATAAGTTATAATAAATGTGCATAAATTATCTATTTTATGAATCTCTTGATTGCCGCCGTCTCCTAATGTCCATTTGATCGCTATTGTATGCCACGGTGTAGTGGATGAAAAAAAAAGAAATACGATAAAAACATGAATTCACTCTCCGTTGCCCGCTGCTTTTGCTTTTTGTTTGATTGTTATTTCACCGTGAAAATAAAACAACAATATTAATCTGATGTGCTCAGCCTCAGCGGCGAAAATAGCCTGCTTGTTTCAAGTGATATTCATCTCTCTAAACAGCACAAACAGTAGCTGCTGCATCATAAATGACTCTCTCTCTCTCTTTTAAGATGAAAGAGAGCTGAGATGAAGAAGGAAAGTGAAAAAACCACGCGATGATTATGGCTACGAAAACAACACATTTGTTTTCGCACCGTGTGCACTTATGACATAAGACAAATAGAAAAATACGGAGAATCTTCTTTTTAAAATAGAAAAGGGGATGAAATGCTTGGCAAAGCGAAACGGTCAAAAAGTATGTAGCGGTGATGAGTCGTTAAACCCGTTTATCAAGCGGAGGAATGGTTGAAACGAAGGAAATTAACATGGAAGCGATGTGTTAAAAGACGCGTAAATCACACATATTGCCACCGTAGTACCGTTATGATTGTGGTATTGAAACGGCTAATGTATGTTATGTCATGTCGCCTATTCTTTTTTCACATATTTGACCCATAAAAATAAGATGCCTGTTTTACATCGATAACGATGCTCTTGGCTTGGCTCGAAACGCGACATTCGATGTTTAATCTTGTTTTTTCCATCTTAATACCAAACATTTGGTCCATATTCCAAGGTTATCGGTGTCATCGCTGGTCAAACGATGCAAAGTTGATAAACTCGAAAATTTGCATAATTTCGGGAAACATCCACACATTTTTTTTTTCTTTCTTTCCATTTTCGTTGCGAGAAAACGGCGATTCTGGTTTTTGTGCTCATTTCCCTCGTGAAATGTTTGAGAAAAATCTCGATCGCGTCCGCTGAGAAAAAAAAAGGCGATAATAGAAATTGAAATGCGTGTGTTTTTGATGTATAACGGTTGTTTTGCATATCCATCCATGGGAAAATATGCGTCTAGCCGAATAATAATTCAGGAGAATAATGAGTATAATTTGTTTTTCTCAGGTCGCTCTCACGAGTTTCAATCGAGAAAAATGCGTCGATTTAATAGCATTTCTGGCAAATATATCTAGAAAAAAAAACAGAATTCAGCTGCGAAATAAATTTCCCGCAAATTATAGATTCATTCAACGCTGCTGTTTTCAAAAAAAGTTGCTTCTTTTACACGATATCTAGTCAAAATACTTAAATTTTTCGCAGAAATGCTGGCTAAATGTTTGCATTTGAAATTCTGCCGCTGTCGAATGAATATGGATAAATGGTTTGAGGCGTTGAAAATGCGTCTTAAAGAAAAGAATTGGATAAATTTTTCGATTACAGTTGAGCGCATCAACAATTTTCGCAATTTTTTTTTATTTCGTTGAGTGCTCGCGCGCGCTCGCTTGTGTGTTATGTCAATTGATGGCGATAATTTGATGAAATGTGTAAAACAAACAACGATTATTGTTGGAATCGCACACGTGTGTATCAAACGAACTAGAAGCAATTTCATAATCAAATTGCATGCAACAAGAAAATGATGTTGTGCTTAGCCAATTGGTTCGACCAAACACACACGCGCACACATTTGTCTTGGCCAATTAATTATTTCTGCTCGAAATCCCATCTATTGGCTTTACAAACTCACTCCATATTTGACGGTTTCAACCGGTGTGTATGGATACATTGGAAATTGAGTCAAATGCCGTTGTTAACTATGGCCGGAGTGTCATGCGCGAAGCGAAAGATATTAGTTTGACGAATGAGGTTTGCAGCTGATCGATCTTGGCTCATTTGCCCTGAATGAAAATCGTCCCGCTCTTTATGCTTTCTTAATTATGATCATAACGATATGGTCTGAACACGAAGGGTTTTCGGTTTCTTCGAAACAAACGCCGTCCATTATGATCGTTTGGCTGAACTAAATTTTTCAACAGAAGTTCTCTTGTGTTCAAGCGAATGAAATCAACTGTGAAATGCAATTAAAATGAAACTGTTTGCTCTTCTTGTTCGTGTGCAATATTTACTTACGCTTAAACAGCAAGCTTGAATACGGGAAAAGCAACAAAGCTCAAAGTAGAAAGCCAAATAATGAAGCGAGAATAAACGAATTGTCAACTCATCGACGGCGACGAGGAAATACTGTTAATTTCATACCTTTTCTTTGTATGCGCAAGAGAGAGATTTCGAGCGCGAGCTGTTATTACGGTTTGGTTGCCCAAGGGCAACATCGTCCATAAACCACACTTTGTGTTGTTCTTCATTCACCCGAAATTTACCGACTTCATTCCAACGGAATGGCGGAGTGAAACTGTTAATTTGTCTACTTAAAAAGATGTCAACACGTTTCGGGGTTTCTTTTCGAGGCAACAATGAAAATAGCTTCGTCGAAAATGGCTTCGTCTGCGTCGGCAAAGGATTCCGTTTACGTAATTATTTGCTCTAATTTGAGACGCGTAATTAAAATTGGATCATATTTTTCTTTATCGTACTATGCTCTTAGCTGCAATTACTTAACTCCGCTTTCCATCTCCTCAGAGACATTCCGTCAACAATTTTCATTTAGTTAATTTGTTTTCGCGTAAATTTCATTTAAATTACATGTTTTTCCTCTATTCCTTCCGCTTTGCCGGCAACTGTATGGATGCGCGCTGCGCGCACACGGAGCAGTGGCAAAGAAGACAAGCGAAGAACATGTAAAACAGCAGAGAAAACGCTGCTTAATGGGTGCACTATTTTATTGAGTGTTTTTATTGCCTTGAATTTGTTGTTTGAGATCATTATGTCGGTTTTGTTAATGATGAACACATTCATTCAGCTGGATTTTTTTTTCGTTGGTGAATAGATCAAACATCAAATACGCTACCCAAACAGTGTACGAGTAACGAAATCAACCCCAAGATTTGTTTAATGAATCGTTGAAAGCTGATGCCGCGCATTGCAATCAAGGTGAAGAAAGTGAATGGAAGAAAAGACTTTTTCTATTTTTATTGCCATGTGCGATTTCGTTTGAGTTTCGTCGCCTTATTAACCATTGAAAGGGTGAAATTAATTTCCTTTTCATATTAAAATGTAATTTTTATGAAACATTTTTTCTTCTCTCTCTCTCTCTCTCAGCAATAATGATATCCGAAGACAATGTGAAATATTTCAAGAATGGCTCGGGGTTTTATTGCTTTTCTTCACATCGCTGCCTAATGAATAGTTACTTTCGGTTGATTTCACCATATGCTACGGGTTATTTGCAAATATCATATTCCACACACACGCACACGCGCATACGGCTTTCAATATAAATCGACTTCGTGCTTCCGCTTGATCAAAATGCGAGACCTATGCCCAAATGCTGAAAATCGGTTACATTGTTGCAACGGACTCTATTCATTGCGAACGATGTTTTATTGATCGACAGTAAAATTGGAACTTTATTGGTGTATTATTTCTTGTGGCATGCCGAAATGCATAAATGTGCATTCATCATTGAGGTACATAGTACTTCAATCAGTCAGTTTTATTCGTGCGCTGGTCTCTTTGTTTTCGCGTGTTCTTTACGAAATAAACCCAGTCTTCGGACAGTTACTTAATGTGGAATTTAGTGCTCATTTAGCGAGTTTATGCGTCCGTCCGTGTGCATATTCAGCGTACGTATTCTGTGTAACTTGTTGAAATTCCATCGTCGGCAGCGAGAGGTACATTGTTGTAATCACGCGCACGAAATAAAATCCCTCTAGCATCTTGCAATTCGACCGATTCGCTGTCATCTACATGTTGAATAATTAAAAGGTGTGTGTGTTTGGTCTGCGCCATTCATGTGAGATGAAAATGACAGATTTTTTTCTCTCGCTTCAATTCTCATGAAGGAAAAAAACACGCGCATTTGTTTACACAAAGTGTTCATTCACGGCGTGCACTAGATGCATGCAGACTACTTGAGCTCTACTCAGGAAGAAAACGAAGAGAAAATACATCATTTAATCGTTGTGTGTGTGTATTTTTTTTTATTCAGTGAGCATCCATTTGTTTACAACCCAAGTTCATCGCACTTTCCATTTTGTTATTGAAAGAAGTATAAAAAAATCGTTTCATAAAACCCAAAAGACACACAGCGGTAAGAGATTGACGTAAATGAAGTAAAACTGTCAGAGTTTGTTGGTTTACAATTGAATGACTGGGTTGCAGGCGAACGCTGATTTGATTATGGTTGTCAACTGTCGATTTCGCCCCATTTTGACTTTTTAAATGCTCATGCAAATATTTCCCATGTTTGAAATTGAACATTTCACGATATTAAAAGTAGAATTCATGTCGTACACATACACGGGCATTAACCGTCAATCAATCAATCAATAGCATCTAAGCTGAAGGAATTGATTTTCAAGTCGAATTGTTTGCAAAGGAATCAACAATTCCCCTTTTTTCCACTCTAATCGCAATGAATTTGCAAATATTTATTTACAAACACCTAATGACTTTGTGAAATTTCTACCGCTCTCTCGTTCTCTGTGTGTGCGAATGAGTCGATCGACATGAAACATAATTATTTGCGTAAACAATGTGAGCGCAACAGTGAACTGTGTTCTCTGCACAGGTACGATCGATCAATCATTTGAAAATCATTTATCGATGCATTGGGTTGAAATGTCGCAGAAAAAAAACGCATTGAACTCTTTTCAATGTTTGATGCGTAAACATATTTAAAAGATCATTAGCATTGTGACTAACAATTTGTGAGATGAAATCCGTTGTACAAAGATTTGTGTCCCTCGTTTTTCATCTTGGGCTCTATTGTTTGCGCACACAGCGCATACAATTTCATCGTTGAATGAGTTGAATTGAAGGAATAACACCACAAAAACAGAAATCGATTTACGTATTTTCAATAGGAAAAACAGCGATGTCGGTTTCTTAACGCCCTTTCTTTATCTCGGCACACACACAATAGACATGGCACAGTCAACGCAAGAAAAGGACCAAATACAATGTTCGAAATGGAATAAGCAAGAGTAAACACGACACCGAATGGGAGAATTTGCACGATGTGCAATCTCGTCTCGGTTAGGGTAGGTCGTTTGAGCGTCATGCTCAGTACATCCAAATCGATTTCTTGCAAGAAATTCCTAGTTCACTCCATATGAATCGGTCTTTCATTTAACCCTTGATACGGTACAAAATCGTTTATGATCAAACAACAGAAATTTAACACGACAGAAAAATAGAAAACTCAAGACAAGAAAAAGTCAAAGTTGTTTCGTTTTAGCGACAGAGAGAGAGAGAGAAAAAGTTCGAGCTGGCACAAACAACAATTTGTGGCTTAGAAAGTCAATCAAATGTAACCGGGAAAAAGTCGTTGAGTTGATTGTTTGAACTGTGAGTCTGTGAATCTGTGAGTCTGTGTGTGAGAACACGTCGAACCGGACTAATGGAGATTCAAATTGGATTCATGCCGAGTTTCCGTAATCAAATTCAGTTTTACAGGCGAGCATGGCGAGCGTGGGTAAACATAATTTTTTCTCCAGTGTGTTTGTTGTCGATTTTCAATTCGGCCAACGAAAAATTTGCAATCAAAGAGGTCGCTTTTTGTGTGTGCACTCACATGAAATCGCATGCGAAACAAGGCGATAAATGTAATAGTCAATATACAGAGGGAGAGAGATAGATTAAATTTGGGCCATATTGAAATACGACGAGGAAGTCGGGCGCGCAATTCAATCGTATTGTTTAGAGGTCGAGTGAAGTGGAAAAAAAATTAAGTCAAGCAATAAATTTATTTTGATTGTGCCGTATCACGGACCAAATTCGAAATAGGAGAAACGTGTGACATGATTTAATGTATATATCTTTCGAAAGTATTCATAGCCAAAATTGCTTTTAATAACAATTATTTGCGAAGTAACACCAAAATGGGAATCCAATCGCCATTGGAAAACATTTAATTTGGTTTATATGAACGTTTAATGAATTGCTCATCCAATTACGAATTCTGAATGCGACAATGCGAAGCCATTGTCTACATTCGCCATAATTAATAATTCAGAGCGAAAAGATTGCGAGCTGTTGTCCGTTGGAATGTCATGCTCATTTCCATTGAATGCTGCAGAATTAAATGCAATTTGTGTGTTTTTCATTGTAACGAGGGTCAAATGTATGCGTCAGATGATTAAAGCCGAATGCGTAACGAAAGGCCAATGGTTGTGTATGTGCGTGTGCGCGAGCGCGCCTGTCTGCCAGCCTTAATATCGTGTGGGCACTCCATCCGACAGCCCATTGCAAAATGTGTGTTTATTGCTTGGCTATGTTCGCATCGAAATTGCATTTTTGATAGAATGTTATTTGTTCAACAATGCGAAACTGCAGATTTTTTTGTTTTCGGTGTTGATCTTCGCTACGGCTACGTAAAGTGGTACGACTTGACACAATGCATACCAATGCACACGAATAAAATACCAATTTCTAAACGAACCAGTGCTCAGCTATTTTGCACAAACAAAAAATATGCTTCTTTTTGCTCGTTTAACTCACTGTGTGTATGCGAAGACGAAGATGCACATACTTCGATTAGCCGATAACGAAAGGTAAGGCTCGCCGTGCTGTCGATGTAAATGTAGTTGTGCATTGGTAGTGCTGATGAGAATGGTGAGTGAACCCAATGCATAAACATCACAACGCACAGTATCAACGTTATAATATTGTATTGGGTGATCTTTGTACAGCGTGTAAGCGAATACTCAACATTACACTATTCATTCACGCATACACTCTCACTCATACCTCTGAACTGCTTTGAGTCGATCTACTCATACCACCACTACACACAACCGCGCACACACATATGCACACGGCGACGAATGTTAACAGCAACAGCAAAAGCGAATAGTAGAAGAAAGAAGAGTGTGATGAAAAAAAACTGAATACGGCCAAATAAACGAATTGAAATTTAGTTGGCTATAGGCATTTACAGAGTGCACATCGACGCAGTGCTGCTGTGTTTCATAAATTCCGGTTCGTTCTCGCTTCAATTCTACGGTTTGCGATCGTACGTAAATAGAAGTCGAATACACACAGTCCAAACCGAACGAAGTGAGTTTAGGCAACATTTTTTTCTTGCTGTTCAGTGTTGGAAAGTGTTGGATTCTCAATTTCCAATTGCGTGTTTCGCGTTATGAACAAAAATTATCATTGCACGCCGAAGAAAGTGCGTGAGTTGCATAGAATTTCGACATTCTTTGCGCAAAGCGAAGTAAGAAATCAAACTCTGATTTAGTGGGTTTCTTTTATCAAGTGCTAATGATAGTATCAATAGCGATAAAGTGTGCCTGTGTTGTGGCAATATTAAAACTGTTTTCAAAAAATCACTGAATGTGCAGGGATACTGTATTGAACACCTCGTCTCAATTCAATCAATTAGATAATTCATATGCAAATTTTGATCAAATCATCAATTCTATTCCGTTGTGATCTAATCCATGTTTTTTTGGTTATAACGACGACGTCTCGTTTACATTTCAATGCGACTTAGAATCCGTAGTGTGGAAACATTGTGTCATCGATGAGAATGTTTCGTCAATGAGGACAAGAGAAATGTTATTGCTTGTTTCTCACAACAAAACTGTCACACTGTAAATGCTCATACAAACGACGAAAAAGAGGTGTACCACGACGGCTGGTAATAAAATCTGAACGAAAATCATCATATGAAAATGAGAACAGTGATTTCTGTATTTGTTTACGACCTAACACCATCCCAATAAAAAAAAACGTGCATCCAACTATTTCGATGAAAATCGTACGGTGTGTTACGAAAAATCCGATTATATTGGCATGAAGTAAAAATCAAAATAAAAACTCAGCCGTACACACATAAAACTGTGAATAAATTTGTAGCGGTATTCTTTTATAGTTTTCCGCTTTGAGTTATCCGATCATTGTTGTGTTCTAATTATCGAACATCAGGAATAAAAAAAAAAGAACAAAACGACAATCGAGGCGCAAAAAACCACGACAACATACAAACAAAAACAAAAGCCGATTAAGAAAAGACAGAAGACCTGTTGCGCCCATTGTGCTGTGCATTTGCTTAAAGACGCTAATTAAGCAATTAACCTGAATTGAAAGAACTGAATGAGTTACGAAAAAAAAATTGGATAACAAAAAAAAACGAGTTTCTGGTTGAAAATAAAAAAGAATCAGGAGACATTGATAAAACTCGACCGAAAAGCGAAAATCGAATTGATATTTTTTGTCGTATTTCGTGTGTTTTGCTGCTGGATAAGCGAACGCATCGCATAATAAAGCCATTTTGCTTATCTTAATGTGTGGACTTGGATTTTTATAGCATGCGCAGTTTTACACACCATATAAATTGGAACGACGAACAATTATAATTACCAGTAAACGTATTTAAGTGGACGCAAGCCAGAAATTATATCGCGTACTCTTTTTGCGCAAAGTGAATTTATAAAAAAGACGATTTCGACGGGAAGAAAATCAATCGAAAGAAATTTTTGTTGTGGAAGGTAAACGTGTTAATGCGAAGACGTCACACACAAAATGAAGTACCTTAGCGGAAGTGGACACCGAGAATCATATACTTTGGTGGCTCGTAAGAGGTATATGAAAAAAATTCTGTATGTATTCGCATTCATAATCATCTGCATGGCATTTTTCTATCTCGTCGTCGTCATGTTGGAATAGTGAAACCAATTGCGTAGCGGATCATAGAATGCACTCAACATTAGCCTCAGATCAATTCATTTGGATATTCACCTTATTTTTTTCTCTTCTTTGCTTCTTTCTGTTTAAATTGTGTTGCATTTTTTTCCAGACATGTTTTTTTTTGCTCTTAAGTTGTTAATCTGAAGTAGCTGTAGAATTGCACCAGTAGATCGTTTTGTATGTTACTGTTTTTTTTCTATAAAAACTCTGCAACGAGTATCTAAGCTGCATATAGATTGTGCACGAGCACATGTGGCCATAATAACATGAAATACTATGATATAAATAAAGCGCGTAGCCAGATCAGTTCGTTTGTGTTCGGTGTGGTTTGGTGTTTGTTATGTTTCGGTGAATGCAGACACATAGCACGAGGGAGAGGGAGAGAGCGAGAAAAAGCGCGATGAAGCGATGGAAAGTAGTAAAAATATTGAACAGTGGAATAGACGTGCCAGTCACGGCATTAAATATCCATAATAATTAAAATGTATATGGTGTTTTGAACCATAAAAATAAATCTAATCGCCTCACTTCGAACGATTTGCGTTTCACATAGCTATCGCTCGGCGAATTTATAATATCATTACAATTCGCTATCGGAATATGCTTTTTTCTATAAAATATGCGTTTTTAATTTCGTTGGCCACGTTCAATACTTTTTTCCCTATGTTGTGATTGCACTATTTCGAATGTGTGTGTATGTAATCAACATCGTACACTAAATGTTGCCTGAAACACCCATCGAAAGAGAAACAAAAACTACTTCTTGTGCACGAAAGCAACATCATTATACATACAAATATTAAATGCTTTTTCTCAAAAGGAAGATATAATATGTGAACCTGCTTCGAGTAATAAATTGATTGCAATCAATCCTTTTTGCCCTAGAAAATGCCAATTAATTTCATATAAATGTTTTTCTTATTCGTCTTCAACACTTGACCCGAGGGTAAATAAACTACTCGAACCTCTTGAATCGACACGATTTAATGCATCTTACATATGGATTTAGTCATTTAATCACTTGTGATTTTCAAGGTACCTGAGCCGTGTAACGCTTCCGAAAATTGAAAGAAAGAAAGTGGGATTCAATGCCATTATGTCATCGGGATATTCACAGTTTCAGTTCTTTTTGTTTTCAAAGAGGTAGAAAATTCCCTGCGAACAAATATTTTGTGAAAGTTTTAGTTTAGTCAAAAGACACTCTTGTTCTTGCTTGGTCCGTTTTTACCTGAACTTCAATTCTAGGTATAGGTACCCGAGCACAATAATAAACAAAGGCATCAGCTGCAACACAGCTGTACAATTTGTTGAGTTGAAATTCATCCTTTTTCCATAGATCCTCTTGAATAGACTTCGACACAGTCACAAAATACTATGACATTCCTATAAAATAATCCAATCAAGGCGATAATCAGACGTATATCTTCCTCCGATTGACGCATTGAATTGAATTCCCGAAACGCCCTTCGATTATCAGCAATTTTGATGTTGATCGTTATCAAAATAATCATTCCAACCCGTAAATAATTTGAGTTATATATCAGTGTTTCATTGTTTTTCACAGGCTAGTGAATTCCATTGGTCGTGTCAATGTGTGCGGGTTCAATCTCATTTGAATGCGTCTGTTTGACAAGCCGACCGACCGACCGACCATTACAAAAAAAAAGTTTGAAAAGTCTTCGACATTTCCAATCAAATCGAAAGTACATGTCACAGTGATATGGAAAAATGCGTCTTCGACAAATCCAAACAGCGAACACAAACAAATCTTACCATCGGAAAAAACTACATTCCATTCGAGCGGCAAACAGATTCGGGGAAAAAAATTACCAAAAAGACAAATAAATGTCGATCGACTTTGACTGAATGGAAGATAAAAAAAAATGGATATTCAAACCGAAGAAGACTGTGAAAGTGGCAACGGCTGAAAAAAAGAGATTGACAAAGTAGTTTTTTTTCGGTTGTTTACTTTTCAAAATGGTTTGTCTCTTTGCTGATAACAATCGGTACATTTCGACCAGGCAACACATGAATTCGAATGAGCATAGATGATACATTCGAATATATTCATGCACTTTGTGTCTTTTTTTCTCTTTTGAGTTGCGTATGTATGAGGCTAATGCATTTGGTGTGGTCTCTTTGTTTTTACGAACACTCAACTTTCGGAAAGAGACCGAAAGGAAGCAATAAAGTTCGAATTGTGTGTACGTTTCTCAATACATAGCCAATTGAGTGTGTTTTTTTATTGGGTATGCGTCATTTGGGCTTTGTAATCACACACATACACCAAATCAGTACACATGAATACTGAAAATTTCCAGTCATTGTCGAATCGCTTAATCATTTCCTCGGAAAAATGTGTTTGCAATAGAACGAAAATCTCTGTTCGACATTTCTATGCTAATTGATGACATTACACTTAATTTGACAAGACACGGTGCAGAGTTCATTGGCACACAACACTTCATTTTGGCTCTGAACCACATTCTCAATTCAGATCTCAACGCAAACGTTTAACCGCAATTAGGGTAAAATGAGAGAATGTTGTAACAGATATTACTACTTTAACCGTGCACAGCATGAGTGGTGGTTGCTGCAGCAGACTTACTCTTGCCATCTCAAGAAACCAAGAAAAAAATACAAACACAAATATGTACCAGAATTTCAAATGATGAACTCCCTTTCTTTGCACTCTCGTATATATGTGTTTGTGCTATTTCCATTACGATTGCTCTATATTTATCACTTGGGTAGCTGTCTACATTGCTCGCTCCCTTCGAATTACGTGTCACAACGACTAAATTACCATCATTTACGCCGAAAGCCACAAATGTGCAACAAGTTTTTACTGTTACAAAAATGTTTCAACTTCATTTTTTTCGGGATAAAATACATTCGAAATGGAAACTTGCTTTTTCTCCCATTTCAATTCTTGTGCCAAAGAAGAAAAAAAATTCGTAAAATTGTGATGTGAACCGTTTAAATTCAATGAATTTTATTGTAGACTTGAACTGAACGGTGTTTACGAAGGCGATGACTAAGAGTGTAAATGGAATGCACTGAGAAAACAATTTTTGGTCTTTTATTTCGGAAAAAAGAAGAGAAAAAAATATATGAAAAGAAACCGGAGGAAAAAACAAATACATCCGGTTTTTTTTTCTATCTATTCACCGCATGAATAGAGGAATGGCTATAAAATATTTGAAAAAGTTGTATGTTATTTTACGGCATTTCGCCTTATCGTTTGCTGATCTAATTTTCGTAATTCCTCTGCAATGATCAAAAAACGTATTCATCAAATGCGACGACACGTAAGAGTGAGAGAAGCAAAAGAGTGATATAAATAAATAAAAGAAAATGCAGATTGTACACAGTATAAGCCCAGTATAACTGAACTGAGCTGAGCTGAGCTAATAAAATGACCGAACGTTGAATTTGTAATGCGAAATATCCCATCCTTTTTTCGGGGCTTGAAAGACAAAGACAATGCATGTATTGGTTCGGTTGTTGGGTAAAACAAGTCTTCGAGATATGCGATTTTATTGTGTGTACGGTGTGAGTAGAAATAGATACGAATATGTACAGCTATCTGTGCAACAACGTGATATTCATTTTGATTATCACCACATAAATTATCGCATTTAATTTAAATTATGCAGTTGCCATTGTTCCATCCGAATCGCTTTCATTCTATTCTGTTTTCTTTTTATTTGTCTTTTGTTTCCAGTGCATTTGATAGTGATAGAATTTGGTATCGGTTCGATGGGTCGTCGGTGTTGTGGTCTCTCGGTGTGTGTACTCGGGATTCTTACACACATATACGACCGGCGAACGATATAAATTCATTCAAGTTTCTGTCTGATTCATTATGTATGCGACTTGTTTCCCTTCTTTCTTAAACCAATCCCGATTACGCGATACTGTGTTGCGTCGCTTCTGTGGTTGTTATTCGGTTCACCTTTGTGTCACACTCGCGCGCTAGCACTTTCTTACCAAATCACACGTACAACGTCGGTCGGTTGCTTAATGGATTCCGTTTGAAATGGTGCATCGACTCAATGTGCCGAGTTTTTTTTTCTTCGCTCGAATGTGAAAAACAACTTTCAACTGTTGCATGAAACTCCATTAAATTAACAAATCACGGACTTTTAACATAAAACCCGACGAAAATTATTATCGGTCACCCTTTGTGAACTTTAACTTTGAATGCACTCGAATTTTTGTGGACGAATTTTTTTACCACCGCATTATTTTTTGTATTTTAAATTGTTGATTTTTTTTTCCACTAAAATACATGGTTGCTGTGATTAAGTGAAATTATTTTAGGCCGTAATGGAGTAAAGGTGACACGAGTGTCTTCTATTGTAATGGATATTTCAACGGAAAACATATTAATGTTAAGCCGAAAACTACACTGTGAATGATTTTCGCGTTGTCTTCATCGTGAGAATTTCCACGGCGTTGCCGACTCCCTTTTCCCATTCTTTTGCACAGCAGAGAGATTAGCGATGTTTAAAATAGAATCGATTTTAATCATTCCATTCTATTACCGTTAAATGCAAATGCGACGCTAGCGAAAAATGCATAAATATGTTTACAATCTGTGAACCATCGTTGCAAGAGCGATCTGTCATCGATTCCACTCAATTTACCGCAAATAATGCCGTTCTACAATGCGTCATGTCATTAAGCGACTTAAGTTGAACGACGAAAATCTTTTATTCATTTTTACTCATTCATTTCGTCGAAAGTAAAAATTGTGTTTACAGTCAGGCGAATAATAAGAATCCTGCTAAGAATTATAATAAGAACTGCTGCTGCAGAGATAGAAAAATGACGACTTTCGAATGGGTGAGACTATTGGAATTTTATAGTCGTTGCATTCGATATGCAAATATTAGGCGTAAATATT